AAGAATAAGTGAAGGTAGCACTTTTTGACTGGTCTCGTGTAAGGCTTATAACTCTTTTCTGTGTAGTTCTGGACCTCAGTGATTGACAGGTCATGCCTACTCGCCCAGCCAGTTTGGCTCACCCTAATTTCCCGCCTCAGACAAGCTCCAGGTGGTGTCCAATGCAGGAGTTTCTTTTTGTTTTGTATTGAGACAGGGTCTTGTCAAGAAGTCCAGGCTGGCCTTGAACTCCTGGTGATCCTCTTGCCTCACTCTCTCGAGTGCTATGATTACAGTTGTACACCAACATGCGAAGCCATGCAGGGTAAAGGTAAGTGGGTGCTAGCTTAAATAAAGGGACAGGACTATAATCCAGACAGGGGATTTCAACTAGGAGCAAAGGCATGGGTTTAAATTCAGTGCTATTGGCATGACAGTTAAAAAGTAGAGAGAGAGGACAAGAATTGAAGAAAAGCCAGGTCATGAGGACTGTTGTGTTATATCTAATAGCTTGGACTTGATCTTCTAAATTGGTGGTGGTCAACAAGTATGCTGGAGTACAGTGATGTGTTACAAATTCTTTATAATGTGCTGGCACAGCTTGATTAGTATGTAAAATCTGTGTGTAAATGAATTTAGAATGAGTCAGCAAACAAAAGGCAAGAGGCATAGTATAAAATCAAGCCAACAAGACTTGAGGTTCAGCAAAACCTTCTCATGGCTATGTAAAAACATGTAGCCAGTTTTAAGACTTCCCCCCGCTGTGGCTGAAGAAACATAGCACATGGATTTTCCTGTTGATTTTGTCTAGTTTCCCCCCATATACAGATGCTGGTGAGGCAGCTTTGCCTTCTAAGTGCACTACTCCCTCTTCTACTTGTCTTTGGCTACAGAAGAGATTATTCACACAGGGGAATTTGGACAGAGCCAAGCAAAGTCTCGGAACCCAGGCTGCTTTCACCACTATTGCGTGATGTAAGGGGAACCTGCACACAGCTGACAAAGGTAAAGCCTCACAGGGTAGAGAGGAACTTGGTATTAAATATTGGAGGGCTACTAGGACAAGATACCTATTTGATATTTCCATATTTTACTCTTTGATAGCAATAACCCCATGTATTTTTGGTTTTTTCATTTTTTTGGTACTGGGGATCAAACTCAGGATCTTGAGCTTGCGAAGCAGGTGCAGTACCACTGAGCTAAATCCCCAGCCGTTTTTTTATTTTTCTGAGACAGTTTCACTATGTCCTGCACTGGTCTTTAATTTGCAATCCTCCTTGCTTCAGCCTTTCAGAGTGCTGAGAATACAGGTATGCACCACCACACCTAGCTAGAAGTAACCCATTTTCACCCAGTTGCATTATTATGGTGAAGAATTAGGTAATACAAAAGTCACAGAAAATTGTGGCTGCCAAGAAATACAATGGCATATCCACTAGCTGTTAATATGGCTGGTGTGGTATATTATCAGGATAGGCAATGATGGGCAAGGTGAGTAACTGAGCCTTGTTCTTGTCTTTATAGCTCCACAGAGTACTTGGAGCAGGCTGATTTAGCCTGGGGAGGTGAGTGATAAATGAATTCATGCTTGAGGTCCTTAATTTGTACTCTCTATCCTTACATTGTATTATGCAGTTGTATGCTGAGGGTTTCACACAAATCCTCATGTTTTCATCTCTAACTGTGCTGCCCACTCCAACTTCATTCCACCTAGCATCAGAAGCTGGCAACTCTTGTCTAGTTTTTAATATTTACCGTGGTACTACAGATTGAATGAGGGCCTTGCATTGAGCTACACCCCCAGCCTTATTTCAAATTTTAAGACAGGGTCTCACAGAGGGTATGTAAAAAGAATGTTACATACATTCACCAGCTCCTCATGATGATCATTGTGTACTGCAAACCTGTACTAATAAAATTTAAGAAAAAGGAGGGTCTCTTTAAGTTGCTGAAGGTTAAATTAAGTTTGAACTTGCGATCCTCCTGCCTCAGCATCCCAGAGTGCTGGGATTACAAGTTTATGCCACTATGCCTGGCTGTTCCTATCTACTATAAGCTTTCTGCGATGTGGTTTTTTGACTACATCACTATGTAGTTTATGCTGGCCTAAATTTGTGGTGATTCTCCTGCCTCAGCTCCCAAGTGCTGGGATTATAGCAGTGCACCATCACACCCCAGCTTCATGCAATGTATTTTGTTTTTTTGTTTGTTTTTGGCACTGGGGATCAGACTCAGGTTTTTGGGTTTGCAAGGCAGGAGGCAGAACCTCTGAGCTAAATCCCTGGCCCTATGCAATGTATTTTAACAGTTCTTAAACCTCCATGTTTTTTAAAGGTATTTATGTATTAAGCATGATCTCTATCATCGGACTATATCCCAAGTCATCCTTCAGATTTTAATTAAATTATAAATCCATGTTTTTTAAAGGTATTTATGTATTAAGCATGATCTCTATCATCGGACTATATCCCAAGTCATCCTTCAGATTTTAATTAAGAAACAAAATGAGGAAGATGGCCAGATTATGCATTTTAAATAAATCTATTTTTTTGGTACTGGGGATCATACTTAGGCCCTTGCACTTGCGAGGCAGGCGGCAGAACCACTGAGCTAAATCCCTGGTCCATAAATCTAATAATTCTTGTAGCCATATAGGACACAGAATTTGAAATATAATGGCTGCAAAAAGACCAAAGGAAGCTGTTGGTTTGTTTCAAGTGGAAAGACTGTCACTTCATTCCAGAACTGGACTAGGAATGTAGCTCAGCAGTGTAGCATGTGCCTGGCAAACACGAATCCCTCAGTTTTATCCCTGGTACCAAAAAAAAAAAAAAAAAAAAAAAAAAAAAAGTCCCAGCCTCATTCCAGGACCTTCAACTGAAAGGCAATCTGGGGAAACTGTCATGAATTCAGCACATCAAAATCTAGAGCCTATTAAAAAAAATAAAACTTAAAAATCTAAACCAAAAAGATACCTCAGGTTGAATAAGTAGTGGTAAGGGCAATGACTCTGAAGTTATTTAAAAGTTGTGTTCCAAATCCCAGACCAACTATATTACAACAGACCCTTTGGACAGTATGTAACACCTAGACCCTGGGCCCCTTAGTCAATACTAAAATAGGGATGCACCTACATAAATACATAAAGCACTGAGGATTAATAGAATATATCCTGAGGTGCTTTGTTTTACAGGTACGGGGATTTAACTTTACACTGAGCTACATGCTACATATGTAGCTTTTTTTTTATTTTTTGAGACAAGGTCTCACTAAATTGTTAAGCTGCCCAGCCTGGGCTCAAACTTGCAATCAATCCTCTTGCTTCAGCCTTGAAGAGTGCTAGGATTACAGTCATGTGCCACCATGCCTGCTGGGCTTCTTTTTTTTTTTAACCTAGATGACACATGAACTCAGAATAGTGCAAATGGTTTGAGGGATCAAGTTAAAGCTGGGTGCAATAGTGGAGAGAATTTCCAAGGTTAAAAAAGAAAAAACAACCCACACACAACACAAAACTCATGACTGTTAAGTGTGAGGAATGAAAAAAATGGAACTTAGGAGATTTTATGTGCACAAATCCTCACCACTGAACTTATTAAAAAAGAGCAAGAGTCAGTCTGCAGTATAAGCATTAACTACAGATACTCTTGAGCAATCTGAAACATTTCATTTGACAGCTTTCCCCTTTATCTACTGAGGATTCCTTACAGCTCCTCACCCCGTTCAACCATTCTGCCCTCACCTCCCACAAGACAAACGATAAAAATTGGCTTGGTACATTCAATTGCACAGAAAAGCAGCAAGCTGATTCAAGTATCCAGTCTGCTTATGATAAGGCAAGAAAAAAAATCATTCTTTCTACTGGAATCTAAACTGATAAAAGAAACAAAGACATCAACAAGTTTGAGTGAAATGTTGACATTTATATTGAAATATGCACTAAAACAGATGAGTTCGACTAGTCAAGGAAACTTTACCAAAGCAGTCTCACAAGCTCCCCTTGGGAAGGTTCAGTCAGCCAGCAGCAGTGATGATTCCCCAAGACAAATATCACTGGGGAGCCTGGGGCCTCTCCCCAAAAAGCCTCCTTTCAAGAGGTCTCACTCATTGCTCCCACATGCACCCACAAAGATTCAGGAGCCTGGACATGCTCCTTGTTTTTGTATATTTTTAGTTTCTTCTTCACTGCAATAAATATAAGATTGGCAATGGTCACACACCACAGCACAGACAGTAATTCAGGTGTTAGCATACAACTGTAAACAGTGACTAGTTTGAAAAATTAAAAATTGCATTTGTTTTTAAACAACATTACAATCTTTAACAGGGCAGGAGCTATTCATGATTTGTTTTACTGGGCTAAGGTTTCTGACAAAGATTCAGATTTAGGCAGATGTCCTCAAAAGTTCAAATAGCCAATGTGGTAGCCAGAGAACTGCCTATCACAATCTATAATGTGTGGGCAGCAAAGACACCTGCATTAGACTGCCTATGGCAGTGTATCTTCCTCAGATCTACCACTTTTCATACAGGACTACAGAGACCTTAATAGTTCTGTCACTGGCTGCCCTGTAGTAGGAATGGTGGGCAAAGGGTTTAAAATCTGTCCGGAAAGGAATAGAACATCTCTGATAGCTGCCTGGAAGGTTGGCCCCTCCACAATGACAACAGGGACATTTCACAAGACAGTGCACTAATTATAGATATTTTTCAAAAGTACAAAGACTTAGCAGTAAATTCTGTCATTAAAGCAAACTGGGATGTCACTCAAAAAAGAACAGATTAACACTTTCTGCCTAAAGCACTGTAAAGATATGTGGCAAAAAATGACAGTGGACTCAGTATCTGCACACTGGTGATAGGGCAGAATTTTATTTAGACTAGTAGTTCAAACACTATTGCTTGAAGAGCTCTGGCAGATATAAAATGTAGTAACATCTGGGGTTTATACATATAAAACAAAGGAGCTGCAGGCCAGCTCACAAAGGAATTTTGATATGCAGTCAAGAGAGACACTAAAGCGAATGCTACAGGAGTAACCTAATGGATTTATCTGGACCATACTTCCACCTTCTGACAGACACAAAAAGACTTAGACAGGCAACTGTCCTTTCACACACAAAATTCTGGCTTACTTTACTCTTCTTCCTGAAACTATACCTCAGCTTAGAAAAAAAAAAATCTGTTTTGAAAAACTCAAGAACCTGGGCTACTAAAAAGGAAATTTCAATATAGTAAACAAGTTTAGTAAACACCATGTGTATTTTCTGTTAAAGTCATGATACATTCAGAAAACTTTAGAAGACAAAAGCAAATTCCTAGAAAGAGGCTCAACTCACACACACACACACACACACACAAAGCCCAAGTTCTATCCTTCCTAGTCAGAAGTGGGTCTTAGCACAGATCAATAAACCTTACTCTAATACACAAAGCCTCCGTCCCTATCTGCTTCGTGAGTAGATTATAAAGCACACATTTAGTTACTGAATTTGAATATTAAACAGAATCACTGCAGTGCACATTTTGATGGGTTACTTCATTACCCAACCTGGTCCAGTTTAAACATTTGTAGATCCAGTTTATACATATTTCACAGGTATGTTCAATAATAAGCAATTATTGTTCCATATTCTTTTGAGTGGCAGTTCCTTTGGCTCAAGCAAGCCGTTAAGATTATAAGGACCTTTCTTGAAAGAAATTATTGGATGAAGCTACATTAGTAAGAAATCTTAAAAGTTAGATGAACTGGGCCAGGGATTTGGCTCAGTGGTGCCACCACCTGCCTCACCAAGCACAAGGGCCTGAGTTCAATCCCCAGTACCCCCCCCAAAAAAAGATGAACCTAGTTCTTTAAAACTAAAATGCTGTGATAAATATAGAATGTCTGTTCTGAGCAGCTTCACTGTTTCTCCATAGAAAAGGCCAAATCTTTTTGGACTGATGAAATTTAAGAACTAAGCCCATAAAAAATAGAATATAGAACTGGGGGGTGAGGCTCAGTGATAGAGCACATTCCGAGGATGTGTGAGCCCTAGGTTTCATCCCCAGAACTGAAAAAACAAAACAACCCACATACCTTAAGATACAAAACATGAAATAACGTCAGATGTTATGGAATGGGAAAGGTGATCTGATTTTTTTTTCCAAAATATAAATGATAACAGTTTTTAACGGAAAAACAAACCAGAACTCTTAATATGAATAAGACTACACAGACTCCATAGCACAGACAACCACACAAGAATGAGTTATATATATGAGCAATATCGTGAGAATAACTGGCTGGGGACTTACACTTCCAGAAACTGAGGTCCTTGGTCAAAAATGTGGTAAAAAGAGAGGGAAGGAGGAGAAAAGGCTGCATGCTTGGTTCTCTTATAAACATGATATTCAGCAGCATAAAAATAATGTCCTCCAAAGAGTTTCCCAGATGGGATAATACCTGTTTTTCACTACTAAGCATAGGAAAGTTTAAGACTGGAACAGATTCACTTGTAACTGTAGCATCTCCCATGTTTGAGTGACAACCATGTTTAATCTGACGCTGTATGTTAAGAAAATACTGAGCATATACAAGTAAAACAAAATACAAAAAGGCTAAATTTTGAACCTTAAAAATGGGAAAAAAATGAAGTTTTATAGCTAAGTAGATATGATTCTGATGAACATATAACATAATTCACAGAAAAAAAGCTTTGTATTTTTCAGTATGTGGACTTGATGATGTTCTAGGAAAAACAGTGATAATTCAATGAAGGTGTCACATATACAACTAAAAAGTCCCCTTCTGGTTTCAAATGAATTTAAATAACAATCTTCCTTGGCTAATTTTTCTCCTGTGTTGGACAAACTTTCTATATACAGGACCAGTTTAAATCCCTCCTCCCCTTCAAACACTAGATATGAGCATCCAGGAACATCCTACAATGCAAAGTGCCTTAAGAAAGAGGATTCTGTAGTGCCAGTGATATAACTGATCTGAGGAAGTTGGGATACTATTAACACTGATGGAGGTCAGTCAGGCAATGGTGGTTTGTTTCTCCTCTGGTGTTTCCTCCAGCAACTGCATGATCAGTTCATGGAGAGGTTTGCAGATTTTTGCATAGCCCCCTCCTGTGAGATTCAGGAAATCAAACATGTCGTGACAGGAGATGGCTCCGTCCGAGTGCACAAAGCCCCCATCTGTATCCAAGAGCTGCACGTTGGTGAGCTTCGGCAGAGAAACCTTGAGAAGTTGGTTCACCTTGGCATTCTTTTGCCTCAAAGGGTTGGGCTTCTCACCTCGAGGTAATAAACCCTGGGGCAGAGTAGAGAAGAAGATCATTAACTGTGAAGGTCCACTTGTTTTTCTCTACTTGTGATTTTAGATATATCACCTTTTCTTTATCCTAATCACATACACTCAGGATCTTATCATCATTCACCTCAATTAATGAAAAATCTCCTGAACAGTCTTCCTTCAACCCCTTCTCCATAAAGCTATCAGAATAATCTAGTTAAAGACACATCTACCTTTTAATGCCACATGGAAGCTATACCATACTACATACATCGAAGAGGACTGAACCAATATATATATTTTTTTTTAATCAGGGATTGAACTCAGGTCCTTATGCTTGTGAAGCAGGCGGTGGAACCACTGAGCTAAATCCCTGGCTGAACCAATACTGTTTTGATGAATAAGAGCCATATATATATCTGGCAGGATAAAATGTGTCCTAAGCCTGGCATGGTGATGCACACCTGTGATCCCAGCACTTGGGAGGCTGAGGCAGGAGGACTGGCAAAAGTTGGGAGCCCAGCCTGGCCTACACAGTGGGTTCAAGGCTACCTGAACTACATAGCGAAGCCCTGTCCCCACCCCTCCACCCACACACACACAAAAGAAAAAACCCAGAAAATTTGTTCAGCAGTTTTTATACACTTCCTAAACAACTGCTATGTATCACTGCCATTTCAGAGGTGGACGTTTTATTTCTTTCTTTCTTTTACAATACTGGGCCCTAAACTTAAGAGCTTTGCACATGCTAGGTAAGTGCTCTACTATCAAGCTATATCACTTGTTCTTTTGTTTTTTATTTTGAGAAAGGGCCTCAAACCTGTGATCTTTCTGAGTAGCTAGGATTATAGGCATATGGTGCCACGCTCAGTTCAAAGGTGGACTCTTAACTACAATACCATATAATCTTTTCTAGAATAAGGCAAAATATGAACAACTACATCAAATGAAAAGAGCGAAAATCCAGACTCTCTATGGTCTTTTTTTTTTTTTTTCCTGGTTTTTTGAGACAGAGTCTCACTATGTAGTGAGACTGACCTGGAATTCACTATGTAGCCCAGGCTGGTCTTGAACTCACATCCTCTTGCCTCAGCCTCCCAAGTGCTGGGATTACAGGCATGCGCCACCACACCTGGCCTCTCTGTGGTCTCTCTTTTTCTAACCATTCCAGTCTCATTTTCTGGTCACTCTGCAAACACACACATGTCCAGGCCTTTGATCTTTTCTTCTTCCCCCCACTCTTTCTGTGATGTCTTATCTTCTTTCCTTTCCTCATTTGTCTGGAGACAAATGACTTCTTTAAAACTAAATGAATGTCAACTTTTATGTATAAAAACACCCTTACTCTCCCTCTTATACTCAATGCTTTTCCATTACTCTCATTAGCATATGGTGTAATTAATTCTCTCTAAATGGCTATCTCCATCTACTAGACTGAGCTCCCTGAAATGGATGACATTGTATTCATTTTTACATTCTCAGAATCTACAACAGTGCCTTGTACAGAGTGATCGTTACATGTTTTTTTGTTTATTTTTTGAGACAGGGTCTGTTAGTTCAGGCTAGCCTTGAACTTGAGGCAATCATCTTGCCTCAGACTCCGCGTGCCAGGATTATAGGCATACATCACCATGCCTGGCTCAGAGATAGACGTCTATACTGGGAACCCCCCCAAAATAAAACAGTACTTTTGGGCAAGGAATTTAGCTCAGTGGCACCAAGCCTGTCTCATAAGTGCAAAGTCCTGAGTTCAATCCTCAGTACTAAAAATGAAAAAGAATTAATACTTTCACTTTACAAAATGATAATCTTCAAGGTAATATCAAGTGTCGCTTTTCCTGCTGATGAAATTTCTGATGTTTTAGAGAGTTCAGATATTTTTAATAAACACCTTCAATACACACACACATTATATTTTGTTGTACTATGGACTGAATCCAGGGTCCCCAGCCCTTTTTATTTTTTATTGTGAGACAAGGTCTCAGTTAAATTGTCCAGGTCAGCAATTGAAACTTGTGATCCTCCTGCCTCAGTTTCCCACACACTGGGAGTACAGAAGTGTGTTACCATACCTAGCTCCATCTTCAACATGTTAACTGTGGAAGAGAACAATACATCTAAGCTAATCCAAACCCAGGTCAAATAAAAACACACAGGATTCAGACAAATCTTACATGCAAATTTTTTATCAAAAGGTTAAAAAAAAGAAGAAAAAGGGTACTACGGGCTACAAAGACTTTCCACATTTCTAAAAAAGGATGAGAAGGTAAAAGATGACCCTGAGGTTAGTATGGGGAATGATGAGACCAATTAGAGAGTGGGATACATCAGAGAATAGATCAGCAGAAGTATTATAAACTGCATCCACCTAAATATTCACAGTATTTATGAGCAACTGCATTTAAAAAAGATTCCTCAGCAGACATCAAGATACTAAAGTTTCCATCCACTCAAAGACTACATACCAATACAATGATTTTGGCCTGTGGCTGCCTTGTGTTGATAAGCTGTACAATGGCCTCGATACCACCTGCTACCTCTTCTGCTGTATTTTCATGGTTGTTTGTTCCTACCCAGACAACAATGACCTATAATGGAGGGAATAAAAAAGGGGAAAAAAAGATAAATACCAAGGAATAAACAATTCCAGGATTTAGATGAAAATCTTCTCAAAAGTCAAAGAAAGATGAATTTCTCAGATGGTGTTGGACAGCTTTAACTGGGCAGTTATCTTTAAAACACTGACTTATGTCTTATGTATCCGAATAACTCCAAATAGATTAATAATTTAGTGGCATACTGTACTTAGGAGAAAACAAAGAGGCTTTAATCATCAGTTAGATGCTAATCTCTCAAAATCCAGGAGCTATACAAAAAAATACCCTTCAACTGTACAAAAACAAAGCCTTCTAAATTATATTATATATAATGTGTATGTACAAATAAAAGTGAAATCTTCCAGGCTTAGTGGCATATACCTGTAATCTTAGCACTCAGGAGGCTGAGGCAGGAAGACTGTGAGTCTGATTCTTTTTGACAGTATCAAAAAAAACAAACAAAAAACTAAGTGAAATCTAAAGAACCCGAGGAATAAATTTACAATTCACATAAGAGGAAGATTCATTCTTCTCCTTCATTGTAAGTATCTCATATAATAAGAGAAGTACTCAAGGGAGTGTAATGGGCATAAACACTCAAAGAATGGGGGGGGTGGCACTGGATACAATTTTAACAAGTTTTTCTCTATTTTATTTATTTGTTTGTTTGTTTGTTTTTATTTATTGAGACAGGGTCTCACTGTAGATGAGACTGACCTGGAACTCACTATGTAGTAGTCCAGGCTGGTCTTGAACTCACAGTGATCCTCCTGCCTCAGCCTCCCCAGTGCTGAGATTACAGGCGGGCGCCATCACACCTGGCTAAGTTTTTCTCTTTAAAAAAAATAATTTTAACCTGCCTCACAAGTGCGACGAACCGAGTTCGATCCCTGGTATGGAAAAAAACAAAACAAAACAAAAAAAACCCACACACAAATAAACCATTTTAAGCCAGGGATTTAGCTCAGTGGTGCCACCACCTGCCTCACAAGCTCAAGGTCCCAAGTTCAATACTACTACAAAAAAAATTTACAAGGTGGCTGTCAGAGACACACATCTTATTATATGATCTAACTGTTCCAAAAGAAGCACACACACACAGAGAGATGAATTTTTCTGTTAGAAAGGCAAAGAATAAAATACCTTCAATGAATGCAAATTTTATTAGCAACTTAGCACTGGTTTTTTTGTTATGGTTGAAAAGAAATTGAGTGTGCCAACTCAGAATGTTTATAATGTGATATGGTACTAGGTACAGATGTTCATTTGTTCACATCTGCCACAAATTTTCTTCAGAAGAACTTGGAGGCCCTGATTACCAATTTGGTTTTTTGTTTGTTTGTTTTTTGGTTTTTTGAGATAGGGTCTCACTATGTAGTTGAGACTGACCTGGAACTCTCTATGTAGCCCAGGCTGGTCTCAAACTCACAGTGATCCTCCTGCCTCAGCCTCCCGAGTGCTGGGATTATAGGCATGCGCCACCATGCCCAGCTACCAATTTGTTTATTGGTTAAACAAATCCAAATTACTTCTCAAAATCAATCATGGTATAGCCACGCCCCACCTGAGTAGCCCGCCCCCATAGCAGTCCAGGTCCACCCATTCTGCAGAATAGCACACATTTTTTGTACGAAATCTCTTCCTACAACTGAAGATCATTAGAACAATTACAAATACAGCCCTGTACAATGTCATTTGTCTTAAAGAGACACAAAGCAAAAACCAATAGAGAAATAGTGCTTTAAAGAAGGAATATTTTTTACTATAGTTTGACAGTTTAACAATTTTATTTGAAAAAGACTCAAAATTAATGACATTCTTTTATTTATTTTTTGGCACCAGGAATTGAACTCAGGACCTTGCACTTGCCAGGCAGGCACAGGGCCACTGAGCTAAATCCCTGGCCCAATGACATTCATTTAAAAACAAGTTTCATTTCACCTTAGGTTTAATGTTCTCCAGTTCTCCATTCTTTAGTCTCCATAAAACATGTCTTGTTGTATCTCCCCCAATTCCAAAATTAAGTGCATGAAGTGGGGAAAAAAGCTCTCGCCATATCTAAAGAGAAAAAGTTGATGTAGTTAAAAAATTAAAATTAGCAAGAAATGAAATCTTTCAAATGCAGTGTGTTGTGAGATTTGAAATAACAATTTCCGTTTTCTTTACTCAAACCTAACACTGGAAATGGTGTGCCACTTACTGTTTAAAGGGCTTCTAAGTTTGTGCTGTTATTCAGTTCTTTCTTTACAGTAAAAATATTTACTCAGTTCTTAATAATGCGATATTAGGAAATGAGTAACAACTCAGTATGATGCCCTAACAGAGATAGCAACATTTTATTTGGTTGAGGTGTGTGTATGCATGTGCATGCATGCTGGGGAACAAATGCAAGGCCTCATGCATGCTAGGTATATAGTACTACCCCTGAACTGTATCTCTAGTCCAACCAATACATATATGTTTTGGTACCAGGGCTTGAACTTGGGACCTTATGCTTGTGAAGCAGGCCCACTAATATTTTAAATTCAGCTACCAATTCAAAAACTCTCCACTCATTGAAGTATTTTAAAACTATCTTTTCTTTTCAATTTTCCTCAGAAGGAAGCTTAACTCTTGAAATGGATTAGGAGTAATTCACCACAAAAATATATAAAATAAGAAAATGGCAAAATTCAGGGCCAAGGATTTAGCTCAGGGGTGCTGCTGCCTACCTCACAAGTGCAAGGACATGAGTTCGATCCCTGGTACCAAAAAAACCAAACAAACAAAAAAGCCCAAATAATAATTAAGAATCATGACTAGGATAAAAACAAACAAACAAGTATCTAGCTTTTGGGAAACTAGAGCAAAAAAGAGAGGGTCAATTCTGAATGAAAACCAGTAATTATGGATATACACTAGTACCAAGAACCATTCTCACCCCCTTCCACCTTTACCTCATACTGCTGCATTAACTGTACCATGGAGTCTCCTACAAATAGTACATCAGGTTCTTTGTCTTTACAATCCAAGACAAATCTGTTGTGCTGGTTAGAAAAAGAAAGAAAAATTAGAAACCTGTGAAATTTCTTGGCCTAGAAAGAACAGCTGTCCAAATAGTTAAACATTCTTTTCTCTCTGGGTGTGGTAACACATGCCTATAATCCTAGCACTAGGGAGGATGGGAGTTTGAGGCAGAAAGATCAAGAGTTCAGGCCAACCTGGGTTACATTGTGAGTTCAGAGCCAGCCTGAACTACAAAGTGAGACCATGTCTCAAAGAAAAAAATAAAACATTCTTTTTGGGCATTCAGGCCATAATGATATGAGCAGCTTTCCTCTGCCCAGGCCTTTCCACTATGCCCCTTCTGCCTTGGAGAGAGCCAACTATGGTTTGAAAATGTGAACTAAAATAAACCTCTCCTCTTAGTTGCTGGTGTCAGGTATTCTGTCCCAGTGATGAGGAAAGTGACTAAGATAAATTTTGATACTGAAAATGCAGTCAACCGCTGTAATGCTACCTGACCATGTGGTTCAGAAGTCTTTGGAGCAATTCACTGGGAAGAATTTGGAAAGGTTTGGAGATAATGATTGTAGAAGCAATCCTAAAATGCTGCGTAATGAGCTTGATGGGAAATTCTGGTCACAGTTTAGCAGATCAGAATGCACAAAAAAAATGCAGATAGTAAAACTGGTGTGGTAGCATATGCTGATAATCCCAGCACTTAGGAGGCTGAGGCAGGAGGATTTGTGAGTTCAAGGCTAGCCTGTACTATGAAATGAGAACCTGTCTTTAAAAACAAAAAACAAAGCAAAACAAAAAAGGCAGCAGATACTAAAGGCAAGGCTTGGGAAGTATCAACTGGGAAGAAGGACTCTACTGCTCCTTTGACAGTTGGAGTCCAGTTCATGTGTTATGCCGGAGAAGAAAAATGGTCCACATTTTGTTCATGTCCTAAGACTATAGATGACTGAGATTACAGAGAGCAGACAAACTAAACTGGTGGAGAAAAATCTGGCTGCAGCAGTTACTGCTTGCTGCTTTTAGCCAGGTTTACACTGAAAATCAGGAGCAAATAGCCCAGTTGAAAAGTGCTTAGTTTCCTCAAAAAGGAAGAGCTGGCAATGTTGGAGTAAAGACCTGCTGAGTTGCTAAAAAGATTAGCATTAAAAAGAAGCCAAGGGGGCCAGGGATTTAGCTCAGTGGTTCCGCCGCCTGCTTTGCAAGCACAAGATCCCAAATTCATCCTCGGTACCAAAAAAAAAAATTTTTTTTACAACAAGGCTTTTACAAATTTTACAAATTGTAAAAGTGACTTGCTTTAAGAAAGCAGATGTCACACTTGGCTCAGAAAGGGTTGCATAGGGATGCTGTAACTGTTAGGACTTCTAACAATGCGTAGAGATGGATGAAATGTATTTTGCATGAAGAGATGCACATGAACCTTTGGGGGTCAGGGATGAAATGTTATGGTTTAGATCTAGATATCCTTCAAGACATGTGCTCACAGGTGGGGCTTTGGGAAGGTGACTGAATTGTGGGGAAGGTGAGGTTTGATAGGAAGAGGTGGGTCATGGGGCCGGGAAGGGTGTATCTCCCTCCCCAGTTCCTTGTTTCTCTCTGCTTCCTGTCTGCTATGCAGAGAGCAACTCTTCTCTGCTACACCCCTGTGCCACACTGTATTGCCTTGGAGCCAGTTGGCTATGGATTGAAACATGAGTCAAAATAAATCTTTCCTTTAAAAACAAAACAAAACAAAACAGGGCTGGGGATTTAGCTCAGTGGTTTGGTGGCCTGCCTTGCAAGCGCGAGGGCCCAGGTTCAATCCCTGGTACAAAAAAAAAAGGCCGGGTATTTAGCTCAGGGGTTCCAGCACCTGCCTCGCAAAAAAAGGACCTGAGTTCGATCCCCAGTACAAAAAACAAAACAAAACAAAACCTTTTTAGGTTGAGGATATAGCTCAATGACAGTCTTTTACTTGACATGTACAAAGTCCTAGGCTCCAGGCAGGCACAGTGGTACATGCCTGTAATCCTAGTACTCCGGGAGGCTGGGGCAAGAAGATAAAAAATTTGAGCCTAACCTGAACAACTCAGCAACATAGTGAGAGAGACTATGACTTAAAAAAACAAAGGGCTGGAGATACAGCTCAGTGTAAAGGCCCTGGGATTAATCTCATGTGTATGTGTGGGTGTGTGTGTGTACAAGTGTGGGGTGTTGGGCTCTATCTCCAGCACCAAAAAGAAAATCTTTTTTCTTTTTTCTTTTTTTTTGGTACCAGGGATAGAACTCAGGTCTGCTGCGCATGCGCGGCAGATTAGTCTGTCCTTACAGCTGTATTCTCTTTGTTCTGTAATTAATTTCCTCCTGCCTTAGCCTCCCAAGTAGCTAATACTACAGGTGCAGGCTAACACAACTAGCTAAGACACTTTTTAAAAGCAGATTTTAGGGCTGGGATTTAGCTCAGTGGTGCTACCACCTGCCTCAAAAATGCAAGGTCCTGACTCACAAGCCCAAGGACCCGAGTTCTATCCCTGGTACCACAAAAAAAGCTTATTTTTGACAAGTAGATTCTTTATAACATTACCTATCAATACTAAAGGACATAATTTAAACTTTTTTATTTAAACTAGAAACAAAGTTACAGGATGCTGTGGGCTACAGATCTGTAAATAAGTTTCAAGAAAAGAGACAAACACAGTTTCTTTGTCTCAAACCCTACATTTAGATGCTAGCTTCAGGAATTAAGACAGAGGTACTATTTAAATATTTCTGCTAGCAATTATCAATCTTGACAAGACTGTGGTAAAAAGAGATACTCAATAATAGAGTGAAGCTGGGGATTTAGCTCAGCGGTTCGGTGGCCTGCCTGGCAAGCGCAAGGACCCGAGTTCAAGCCCCAGTACCAAAAAAAAAAAAAAAAAAAAAAAAAAAAAGGAGTGACCATATGAGTGAAAATTAGAAAATAATTTGAAAGAAATAATTAAGACAGCTTCATTAAAACAGTTCCTCTCTCATGGTGACAGGATTAGAAATAGCTTTCCCCCCCTCCTTGCTTCGATGTTTTATGCAAATAAACATTATTTCAAATATTACTATTTTTGTTGTTGTTTGGTACCAGTGATTAAACTCAGGACCTTAAACTTGCGAGGCAGGTGGCAGAACCACTGAGCCCTAAAAATCCCAGCCCTAAAAATTATTATTGCTTCAATAAATTTAATTTTGTAGTACTGGGGATTGAACCAAGGGAACACTGAGCTCTATCCCTAATCTTTTTATTTTGAGACAATGTCTAAGTAAATTGCCCAGGCTGGCCTTGAATTTGCGATCTTCTTGCCTCAGTCTCCTGAGTAGTTGGAATTACTTCCTCAAACTCAAGAAATTTGGGGGGGCCAAGAGTTTGAGAAAATCAGGATGGCCTTGAACTATGTAGCTCTGGCTGGCCTCAAACTCTTGGCAATCCTTCTGCCTCAGCCTCCTGAGTGCTGGGATTGATTACAGGCATGTGTCATCACACCTAGCCAAGGAATATTTTTTAAATGAAAAGATAAAATGAGCAAAACTTTAGGGTCCTAGGAGAATAGCACAGTGGTACAGTGCTTGCTTATTGTACATAAGGCCCTGGGTTTGATTCTCAGCATACTATATTTTTTTTAAAGAAAATTACCTTTTATTTCTAAAATACAGCACATCTATAGAATGTGACAGAATCTAAGCACTGCTGTTTTAAAGATTCTAGTAATTTACAGTTTGTTTTTTTCTTTCAGATAGGGTCCTGTTATATAGGGTAGGCTGGCCTTAAACTCATGTTCCACTTGCCTCAGTGTTCTAAGTACTAGGATTATAGATGTGTATCACCACACTCAGCCCTGTATTTTCTTTTAAAGTACAGACTTAGTTGTAATAAACTTGGGAAAATAGAAGAGGCCAAAGCATAGCTCCTATGATTTTACCACCTTAACCATCTTGGGTTGTTTTCTTCTTACGTTTTTTTCATGTGTCAACCCAACCTCACCTTCATGGTTTTTTGAATGAGGGCCTCAGTATATAGCCCAGGCTGCCCTCAAACTCATACTCCTGCCTCAGTTTCCCAAGTGCTGGGATTACAGATGTGTGATATTACTTGCTTACCCCGCCCACATAGTTAAATCATGAGGAACACCTCATTCTGGCACAACAACTTTGGGGGTAGAAAAATCTACACTTAAATTCTAGCTCACTTACTTTCTAGTTATGTGTCCTTAAGCAAATACATGATCTGAGTCTTGGTATTCAATCTGCTGGCAACTGTTCTAGAGTTAAGATGAGAGTTGTAGGAAAAGAACTTGGCTATAGTCTGGCATACAGTCAGTTCTCAAAATGTGACAGCCATTATAACAGCACTCAACAACATATCTGAAGCATTCTTCTATACAGATGCATTGTTTTCTTCTTTTTTTCTAGAGTCACTGGGTATTGAACCCAGGGCCATTGCCCTGAGTTACATCCCCAGCCCTCTTCATCTTTCATTTTGAGACAGGATCTCATAAAGTCATTAAGTTGCCCAGGCTGACTCAAACTTGTGATCCTTCTGCCTGAGTCTCCCAGAGTGCTGGAATTACAGGCATATGCTGCATGCATTTTTAAATACACACACACACACACACACATATATATTGTATTACATATA